GTCTGCAGGCCCCCAAGTCAGCTAAAGGTGCATAGTACCCCTGGGCCCCTGGGCTGAACCGCGCAGGGTCTGAGAAGCCAACGAAAAAGGTGAAGCCGCAGTCCCGCGTGGGCGCGTCGAGGGGGGGCGCGCGGAGCACGGGCGCGTGGCCATGCTCGGGCAGCTTGCTGCCGCGATCCACGATCTCGTAGTGCCTGGTGATCTCGTCGAAGTCCGACGAGCCCTTACGGGCGTTTGGTTGTTCAGGGCGCTTCCTCTTCCCACTCCATTTTCTTCCTCTTTGGGGGGGGGGGGGGCCGCCCCTCCCCCTGCCCCCACCCCCGCCCCGTGGACCTGGGCGGGGCGCCCCGCGACGCGCCCGAGTCTAGGATGGCCCGCGACTGCTGTGAGAGGGCCTCGCAGTTCCCAAGATGGCCTCCAGCATGGCCCAAGATAACACAACATCGCTCAAGCTGTCTTCCACGGCGCTCCCAGATGCCCGAAGACCGACCCACGACGGCCCCAAGTGGCCTCCGAGACCTCGAAGGAGGCCCCCAAATAATCACAACCCCTCCCAACCATTAAGGAATCAATGGCGCGCGCATGGTCGCCCGTTCGCTTCCGATGGCCACCCGAGGCCTCGAGGTGGCTCCAAGGCGGCCCGACGCGGGCCCCAGAGAAGACCAATAGAGACCCAAGATGGCCCCAAGAATGCCCGACAACGCTCCAAGATAGCCCCAAGAGCGCCTCAATAGGCGACGTTTGGCCGCCCCCGACGGGCCAGGCTAATTCGGGGCATCCCATAATTTGAACGACGCCCTCCAAGTTCCCACCCACGCCCTCCCCCCCCGAGAAAAAAACGCCCAGGACTCCCCGAGGCGCCCGAGATGGCCCCCAGAGGGCCCCGCGGGGGCCCCCAGGAAGCCCCCGAGAGATCCCCCAGACGGCCCCAAGTGCAAGAAGCGCCCCCGAAACACTCGGGACGCCCAAGAGCCCCCCAGGACCGCCAAGCGGCCCCGAAGACGCGCCAGGGGGCTTCCAAGAAACGCCCAAGAGGCACCCCAAGAGACCCCGAGAGGCGTCCAAGAAGCCTCTGGCCCTTTTGCCCGTCATCTCCCTGCGTTCCTGCTCGCCCTTCTTCCTCGTATCCCTGCTCTTCCTCGATCCTCATCGTCCTCCTCCTATTTGTCTTCCTTCCCCCCGCTCCCTCGCCCACCGATCGAGCCCCCCCGTTCCCCCCCACCACCCACTATTCGGACGGTTCAGCCCCCCCCCCCCTCCATGCCCCAGCACCTCCCTGACCACCCCGACTCGCATGGACACCGGTTCTGGATGGGGGCTGGCGGGGGTGCCCGAAGCGTCTCA